TGTCTAGCTGGCAAGGTATTGCTATCTGCTACCTCCCGTGACTGCTGTCTAGCTGGCAAGGTATCGCTGTTTCTAGCTCCTGTGACTGCTGTCTAGCTGGCAAGGTATCGCTATCTGCTAGTTCCTGTGACTGCTGTCTAGCTGGCAAGGTATCGCTATCTACTACCTCCCGTGACTGCTGTCTAGCTGGCAAGGTATCGCTATCTCTACTGTGACTGTCACTGGCAAGGCTCGATCTACTAGTCTCAGACTGCTAGTGCAAGGTATCGCTATCTACTAGCTCCCACGACTGCTGTCTAGCTGGCAAGGTATCGCTGTCTGCTAGCTCCCTGTGACTGCTGTCTAGCTGGCAAGGTATCGCTGTCTGCTAGTTCCTGTGACTGCTGTCTAGCTGGCAAGGTATATGCTATCGTATCTTCTGCTATAGATTCCTGTGACTGCTGTCTAGCTGGCAAGGTATCGCTCTCTACTGTCTCCCGTGACTGCTGTCTAGCTGGAAGGTATCGCTGTCTGCTAGCTCCTGTGACTACTGTCTTATATAAGCGTGAGTCTTCTTGCAGCATCTGGGAGCGCGTTTGTAACCTTGACATTTGAGGGAACCTTTTTGACCCTAACAACTGAAATAATCTTTGTGACCCTCACAGCTGAGGTGACCTTTGTGACCTCCACACTCTTGACTAAATCGGCGGTTCTTGAAGTATTCTGGGTGTCGCTCTCTGTCGCAGTTGGCCCCTCATCTCCACCCCCCCCCCCACCTTCCTTCATATAAATTTTTAAATGTAAAGAATTCATTAAAGTCCTCTTGATTTAAAGAGGAAAACTGTGAAATAAGTTTTGATTTTTAACTTTATTATTTTTAACTGTTTTTAAGGGTTTAAGAAACTGGTCGCAAATATTTAACAAATAAAGGGCATGCAAACATATGTTAAGGCCTTTCCTTATTTTTGCTCTGGGTTCACGCCCCCTCTCCCTCAAAATTACTGACGCCCCCTGCCCAGGGGAGCCAGGTTAAGAACCGCTGGACTAGATGATGATTCTCTTAAATTGCCCAAAATCTTTCTGCCTCCAATCACAAATCGACAACAAATTGTTCACACTTTTCGCTCTTCCTCGACACTTTCGACTTCACTTTACATATTCCTTTTTTTTTTCTAAATTCACCCTGAGACTTAATGTTTCCATGAATTGACGACACACATGCTCAGCCTCTTCCTTTTGATTGGTATCAACACTTCTATATGACTAAGACCCGCGTCAAGAAACACTTGTCCTGTTTCCTAACAAACCTTATCTAACATGAGTGGGGATGAATGCCACCCAACAGAAAACTGGAAAAAAATGGTCGGATTTTACATCGGCAAATTCTATGTGGGGCATCTGTAAGCATGGAATATCACGGAAAATAAATGGGACATGCAACTTTGAGCATCCTAAAAAATGCCGCGACCTCCTGTGTAAAGGAGTGTGTCGTTCTACCTCTTGCAGATTCTTCCACCTTGAGATGTGTCATTCTTCAGTCCTCGAAAAACAATGATACAATACCAACTGCCCCGCATACCACCTAGAAGGGACCAGGAGGTACACACCCCGTACAATAAATCGTAGTAGTTATGGTAGTTATGACAACTCCACTTCAAGTGATTTTTTGGTGGTAGGAAACGAAGAAAGAAAATGGAAAGAGATAACCAAAATAGTCCACCACCTTGGAGCCTTGTTGGACTGGAGGCACAGCCAGTGGCACCTCCGGACTCACAACTACTGATGCCAACAACAAAATCCCCCCAACAAACATGCATCACAACCTCATTTATATTTGCTAATATACAGGACCTTAAGCCATCCACCACTAACAAAATATCTTTCATTAGTGGACTTCTACGGAAGTCAAATGCACTGTTTGCAGCCTTCGCAGAGACCCCATGCAAAAGATTGCTTTACAGTGAAATATGGATACCTGGGTACAACATTTTCAGATGCGACGGAAAGAACAGACAACAAGGGTGGTTGTCCTGTATGTCAAAGATTCGCTCATTTGCACAGAGATACTGAACACCACAAATGATGTAGTTGAAGTTCTAACAACAAAAATCGAGAACCAAAACTTAGTCATTGTACTTGTAAATAAGCCACTAGCTGCAACTTCCCAACAGTTCAAAGAACAGCTATCAAAAATTGACTCCTGTCTAGAAAACCTTCCAGCCACATCCCCAAACATCTTGTTGCTTGGTGACTTTAGTCTAAGACATACAAAATGGAAGAAGAGAGCAAATAAAGTTGTACCAGAAATAATCCCTGGAGGCAGCTCAGATGGAAAGTCACACACATGAGCTGCTGAATTTCTGCAATAAACATACCCTAAGTCAGCAGATAATGGAGCCAACAAGACTGGAGAACACACTAGACCTTAATTTCACAAATAATTAGGACCTGATGAGAAACATATCAAAAACAACTAATTCTGATCTAATCGAAGTCCAGACTTACACACACAGGGGTCCTGCTCAGCAAAATGCATACAGCTATGAGGGTACCTTTACCAAATTCAACTTCAACAACAAGAGCATCAACTGGGACCAGGTGAACTATGTCCTAAATGAAGCATGTTGGGAAGATATCTTAAATTACATGGACCCTAACCAGTGCCTTGAAATGATCAACTTCCTGGTAGCTGAAGTATGCTCAAGGCATATTCCCCTAAGAAAAAAGAAGAGAAGTAAACTGGTGAGAGACGCTCCCTTTACAGGAGAAGGTGAGGAATCACTGAGCTCCTCAAGAATGCCAGATTATCTGAACACGGAAAGAAGCGCTAACCAGGGAAGTGGAAAATATTGAACATAAGTTACAGGATCCAGGGAGGCAAGAGGACCTAAAAGCGATTAGTGAAATTGAAAGAAATTGGAAATATTTCTTTTCATATGCTAAAAACAAGGCCAAAAACCACTTCTAGTATAGGGCCCCTGCTCAGACAAGACAGATCCTACACAGATGACAGCAAAGAAATGAGTGAGATACTGAAATCTCAATATGACTCTGTTCAGCGAGCCACTAATCAGTCTAAAGATAGACAATCCAAAAACAATTTTCATGAAAGAGCCTCAAAACCCTGCCAATGCATGCCAAATTTCTGACATAACCCTAACTCCACTAGACTTTGAGAAATTCATCGACGACATACCCATGCACTCAGCCCCAGGCCCAGACTCGTGGAACTTTGTGTTCATTAAGAACTGCAAGAAACCCCTCTCACGGGCCCTAAGTTAGCTATGGAGAAGGAGCATTGACACAGGTGAGGTTCCACTCCATAAAGGTGGCAGCAAAGCATTAGCTAAGAACTATAGACCAACAGCTGTAACGTCCCACATCATAAAAATCTTTGAAAGACCTCTAAGCAGCAGGATTCCAAACCAATTGGACTCCCAAAAATTGCCCTCTCCAAGGCAACATGGTTTCAGAACAGGTCGCCCCTGCCTCTTGCAACTATTGGACCACTATGATATGGTCTTAAGTGCACTGGAAAACAAACAGAATGCCGATGTAGTATTCACATATTTTGCAAAAGCCTTTGACAAGTGCGATCATGGTGTAACAGCACACAAAATGCGTACTAAAGGGATAACTGGCAAAGTAGGTAGATGGATCTTCAACTTTCTAACCAATCGAACACAAAGAGTAGTGGTAGAGTTAAATCGGAAGATGCACAATATTCGCCCCTATCCCGTTCCTCATTCTAATATCAGACACACTCATTTCAGACGATACTAGGATCTGCATGAGAGTGTCATCCATTGAGGACACGGCAAATTCCAAGAAGATATAAACCAAGTTTTCCAATGAGCAACGGAAAACAATATGATGTTCAATGAAGACAAATTCCAACTACTCTGTTATGGAAAACTGGAAGAAATAATAGCTAGGACTGAGTATACTACAAACTCTAATCACACAATAGAGCGGAAAAGTAATGTGAAGGACCTGGGAGTGGTAATGTTTGAAGATCTCACCTTCAGAGGACAACAGCAATGCCACTATCACATTTGCGAGGAAACTGATAGGATGGATAATGAGAACATTCAAGACAAGAGATGCCAAGCCAGGGATGATTCTTTTTAAATCACTTGTTCTCTCTAGGCTGGAATACTGCTGTACATTAACATCCCCATTCAGGGCAGGTGAAATTGCAGATCTAGAGAATGTACAGAGAACCTTTACTGTACGTATAAGTTCCATCAAACACCTTAACTACTGGAGCGCAGGCGAGAGAGATATACCACAATTTACACCTGGAAGATTCTGGAGGGACTGGTCCCTAATCTGCACACAGAATCACTCCATACGAAAGCAAAAGACTTGGCAGGCGATGCAACATATCCCCCAGGGAAAAGTAGGAGCGCCATTGGTACACTAAGAAAACGCAATAAGTGTCCGGGGCCCAAGACTATTCAACAGCCTCCCACCAGCCATAAGGGAAATTACCAATAGACCACTGGTTATCTTCAAGAGGGAGCTGGACAGATATCTAAAGTCAGTGCCGGATCAGCCGGGCTGTGGCTCGTACATTGGACTACTTGAGGCCGGCAGTAACAGCCTCATTGATCAGGTCCTGATCCACTGGGAGGCCTGGTCGTGGACCGGGCATCGGGGGCGTTGATCCCCGGAATGCCCTCCAGGTAGGTAGGTAGGCTTTTTAACAAGACCAAAGTTGCCATTGAGCGGATCATGGCATGACAACCAGCATCAGGAAATATTTTTGTCCCTCACCACAAAACTGCCTCCGTCGGGTAGAACAATACTTTCACATAAATATAACACAATATGCGGTTTACGGCGTTTTGAAAAATAAAAACAAAAAAACAACAACACAACAAGGTTTTCGTCCTCCATGGACTTCAGTCATAAGGTCTCTGGTGGGCGAAATGTTTTCTCAGTAAAATGTCATAAACTGCGTTTGAGTCTTATTTACATCGATATATTCTACTGCTGATATAGACAGGAACACTTACCCTCATAGTGCTGGTGGGAGCCTCAATGGTGCGGCCGTAGCGGAGCTCTCCGAACACCCAGTCCTGAATGACCCGCTGAACCAGCTGGTTCTCTGGGTCGACGATCCTAAGAGCCGTGACGTTGGTACCACCGTGACGGAAGTCCTCCAGGTCCACTGTGTGCAAGTCCTGAGGACAACAACACACCCAATACTGAAGTTATAATCTACTTTCCAAAGAAAAGCAAGTGTTTGTGATTGATACAAGGAACGTCTGAAAAACCACAGTTAACAGCAAGTTTTTATGAGGACGGGTTAGGTCTTCGGTTACCGTAATTTTACCAAACTAATTACCGGGTATAACATAATATTCTCTAAGGAGAGAGTTAACTAATTACCGGGTATAACATCCCTTAACAAGAGAAGCCGCCATGAAGAACTCGCAGAACAGGAAATGAAGAAAATTAGGTCATCCAAACACCACAACGTTTTATCTTCGAATCCATGGACTCCGACAATGCTTATTAGTGCTTAAAGAGAGTTAGTATTGTTTCACTGTTCTCCATGCGTGAGGTACATTATCCAAACACAAAACTCGCTCAGATATGCAAAAGAACATACAAAGAAACAATGAAAGAAAAGGTAAGGAGTGTTCCACATATCTCAAGTCTCAAACTGAGGCCCTCTTGAGCACGCTGCTGAAGAGGGCTTCAATATTAGGCTCGAAATATGAAGTACGTACTACTGAGTTTTAGTTTTATCATCCTGATGTAGGTTCAACTGTTCCAAGGCATATTATGTTTATTAGGGGTAATGGGTTATTCAGTGAATTAGCTAGAAGTTAGCTAGGCAGTCAACTAATTAGATAGAAAAATGGGTGCCAAACATTTTTCAAACATACCACAGGTTAGATTAGAGGTTAAAGGGCTAAAGGGAAGCTAGTTATGCATGTTAGTTTACAAATAACTTCGAAGCAGTAATAAATACGCCAGACAATGATTGAAAATTAATTCTAAATACGACTGGATCACGTTCTGGGAGACTATTGATCAGCCATGAAACAACTAAGTTCTTTTTAAATGTTAATATAACATTTATGAGCTTACATCTTGACGTCTGTCGAAAGATTGTATTGCTGGAGTTTACCTTGAGTGCCTCTTATACCGTTGAATTTGCTGGCCAAAAGCTTCTATTGAGACAAATGGTGCTGACAAGTGGTGAAAAAAGACTTTTGCTGAGAGGAAATTGATTGAGGCGCTTCGTCTGAGAACAGACTTCTTCGGTCAAACACTGACTGAAGAATACACAAATAACCCGCACATAGAAGAGAGGAGCTTACGACGACGTTTGTGACTTTGTAAATGGTCCAAGTCGGACCGAAACGTTGTCGTAAGCTCCTCTCTTCTATGTGCGGGTTATTTGTGTATAGTTCCAGTCACGGTATTATGCATTTTTTTTTTTTATTTACTGACTGAAGAAGCTTATCCATAGCGAAACATCCCAATAAAGAAGCTCTCTGCATCTGTCTCGTTGTTTTTTCCACTCAAAGATATTGTCTTTGGTTAAAAAAAAAAAAAGTTCCATTCTCCATGCTGCCGCCCACAGCAGCTGACTAACACACCCACACTCACCGCTCCGTAAACAGGAAAAAACAACTATAAGGACGTTGTCCCAACATCTCAACCCTTCCTGGACTGAACCTGGATCTGTCGGTTATGAGCCCAACTCTCCATCACTGAGGTACCCACTTTTTCGACAAGTACCATACACACACAAAAAAAAAAAATATATATAGGAAACGTGATACAAGTAGATTATAAGAAGGCTTTATAAAAGGCTCTCCATTAAAGTCCTTTTGAAATGAAAAAATCTGGACTGTACTCACAGTCAGAGTCAATGCGATTAATCAAAATGCTCATATATGAAAGACTTCAAATTACTGGGTTTAACAGAGTGGAAATTATGCTCTCTCTAACATATTGAGATACGACTGCGTAATTATACACTTTTCATCAATGAGTTGAAAAGAGTTTTATCATCAGTTATAAAAGTGAATGGATAAAAATGAATGGAGAGAGAGAGAGAGAGAGAGAGAGAGAGAGAGAGAGAGAGAGAGAGAGAGAGAGAGTAAAGTGAGTTGAGTTACAAATAAGACAAGGAGACAAAGAAAGACGAGGTTGCCGACTGGGGATACAATATAAAATTCTTCAAATGATGCAGGAAAACAAGAAAGTGTTTGAGAAATTGAATATTACACGAGTGATTTGACGAGTGAAGCTGCGTGGGGAGGATGAGGATGGGGGATGAGGAAGATGGATGGGGAGGATAGCAGGGGATGCAAAGGATGGGTGGGGATGGGTAGGATGGATGAGGATGGGGAGGATAGGGGATGGAGAGGTGGACATGGGAAGGTGGGGATGGGGATGGATAGGGTAGTTAAGAGGGGTCGAGATGATGAGGGAAAATGAAGGTAAGGAGGGGAGGAGGGAAAAACGAGAGGGGGGGTTGGAGAAGGGAAGAAAACGAGAGGAATAGACACATACATCATTCACAGATGCAGTGCCAAGGGTCAACTGGGGGGGGGGGAAGCTTCAGCTCCCAAAATCCTATCAGCTTCCAGATAAAAATAATAGCAACGCTGCTTCAAAACAAGTCTCCCAGCTCTTCCCACCAGATAACCACAACTAAGCTCCTAAGTTTAGAAATTCTGGCGTCGCCTCTGTAAACAATCATGTTTAGAATTTTTGGTGTTGTACTTCTGTTTATATATGGAGTGGAAGACATATCTTCATATATTATGACGTGATCTTTAACTTTTAGTGGATCGAGCAATAAGCCAGCAGAAGGCCTCGGTCATATAACCGAAAGCTCGACCAAGTGGGTCACTATATGACTAAACCCGTACGCGGAGAGAGACAGAAGTACCTGCGAACAGGCGGCTAGGAATGAGGTGTGTGGCCCATTATCAATCGACGGAAATTTGCCTCAAAGTGACGATTCCTGTTAAAGGAAGAGACACAAATACCCACGACCTGCCATACCCTGTGGTACTTGTTCCCAAGCCATCCACCTCCCAAGAATATATTTATAGATATGGTCCATGTAAGACAGAAGTCTACTGTAAAGTGGGCTCGCTACAGCAGCCCCTGCCTCGGCATCCACCTGCTTATTTCCAGGGACACCAGCATGGCCCGGACCCAAACAGAACTCCACATCCTTGTGTTGCACATTTAGAGGCGCCTGCTGCTCCTATATTTTGGATCACATGGTAGACAGAATGAAACAGAACCCATTGGGAATCTGAGTACACACTGAACCGAGAACCAACTAACCCATCTATCAGGACAAGAGAAGCGAGGATTGCACCGAGCTCTGCAGTGAACACAGATTCTCTCGATTTCTGCAGTCACGCAGGAAAATAGTCCTCAGTGACAATCACAGCCAACACCTCTCTCGTTCCTGGATCTGTCAGTAATGATCTTTATCCATGAAGCACGATCCAAATACTGCTCCAAGAAATTAAGCAAGGTCACCACCGGGTCTCAACTCTTAGGTCTCCATCCACTGCCTAAAGATTTCCTAGGAACAGAACCTTTACATTTGTCAGGATTGAACTGCATCTGTCACTATCCAGATCATCCTGTAGCTCGCTTGTGTCCTGATCAGAAATTATCCGATGACCTACTTTAGTATTATCGGCTACCTTATCACTATTTATTCCCTCAATTTTATCGTTGATGTATATCGTGAACAACAATGGCCCAAAAACTGATCCCTATGGAAAATCACTTGTAACGGGTCCCTATTCCGATTACTTCCCATTTATGTTAATTTTCTTTTGTCTATCTGTCAGCAATAACTCTACCCATGACAGAGATTCTTCTATACCATGTTCCTTGATAATGTGGGAAATCACGAAAATGCTTGGAAGTTCACTATTCTTTTCATGGTGGTTGTTCTGCATATTGCAATATCACCTGTTTACTGTAATCTGATTGCATTATATATATATATATATATATATATAATATATATATATATATATATATATATATATATATATATATATATAATATAAGAGAGAGAGAGAGAGAGAGAGAGAGAGATACACAGACATGTAAAGAGATCGACAGATAATGTAGAGGTGAAATTGTGTAACGTCACACTGGCATCTAATGGGACACCGTCAGTTCCCCCGTCTTCTAATAATATGCTATTTTTTCCTTATAATCTACCATGCCATAATTACTGTTACATTTGCTTTGTCTGCTTTTGTAAGATGAAGTCTAAGTTCTTTCTTAAAATCAATTGTCCTCAAAGATTTGTTAAGTTATACCATGAATTAAGGAAAGATCCTCGACTTCACCTTACGAAAGCTGACAAAGCAAATGTGATAGTAATTATGCACAAGGTAGATTATAGGGGATAAATAAACATGATATTAAAAGACAAGGAAACTTGCGCGCCTCTTAAGGTTTTCCCTGGAAGGAGCATTTATGAGATGGACAGAATGATACGAGCCTGTTTTATGATGTGTGAGGAAAAGCTATCAAGCGGACACAGGATAACCAGTCTTTTGCTAGCGTGAGATGAAGAAGTCGCTGCTAAGTTAGGCTGGGATCTTGCTAGTAACTGGACTGACGCTTCGTCAAACTTACCAGCGAGGTGATGAAGTAGTTGTGATAGGAAGTCATCATACCAATCTGTTGCGCCTGTTTAAGAACACTGAAGATGTTTTGGCGTTCGACGTCCAGGACCACGTGCGTCACTCCTGCTTTCTTGGCGTCCTTCAGCATAGGTCTGAGGATACCAGATCAGCATATGCGCGTCACTAGGGTAACAGATGCTGACCATCTCTCTAAATGTCTATCTTTTAAGGAATTTTTTAGTAAGGTTGGGGTGCTATGTTGGTTTTGCTGCAAAATAACAAAAATTCCACATCAAACAATTGAGGGTAGAGGCGAATCTTCAGGTGATTAATTATTACGAAACAGTAATAATGGTATAATTACCGACAAAATGTTAGACACAAACGCAGCTAATGTAACGTTTTATTTTGGCAACGTTTCGCTAAAACGTTTTCGCAAAACGTTTCCATAAAAAATGTCACATTTCCTGCATTTCTGTGCATTTACCTACTACAAAACAAAAGAAGTTCCAGGGCAGGAAGGATTACACGGGATTAATGAAGGAACGTTGGCGAATAAACATGACGCTTAGTCTTCTTGAAGAAAATGATAGACGTAGTGCCACAAATACTTACGAAAATGTAATTCAAAAACGCAAAAGACAGAAATGCAAGAGTTTAGGAAACGTCTACATTTCGCTCTCTGCGATCCTATTTAACAAATGAAGAGGTCCGTTAAACTTGATTAACACAGACATATGAGAAAGACCGAAGAATCCCCTGGTGGGTGAAACTTATTCTCAATAAATGTCTAGACAACACTAGCCAACATAATTAAACTTTTTACCCATTTCCGAACTAAATTGGTTGTTTGTAGTTAACTGCAATGCACTGATCACAAATCTGAGCTTATTAAGTCTTTATCACATATGGTTTTTTGAAATCTTAATGCTCGGTATTTTCTTTTTTATTAAGGCTGAAAAAAACCACATATGTTATTTATCAATCATAAATATTACGTTATGCATAAGTATGAAGGTGGTGATTACAATTAAAAACACTTGTCTTTCTTAATGTAAGTTCATTATATATATATATATATATATATATATATATATATATATATATATATATATATATATATATATATATATATATATATATATAGTGTGTGTGTGTGTGTGTGTCTCTAGGTAGTAGGTTGGTAGACAGCAACCACCCAGGGAGGTACTACCGTCCTGCCAAGTGAGTGTAAAACGAAAGCCTGTAATTGTTTTACACGATGGTAGGATTGCTGGTGTCTTTTGTCTGTCTCATAAACATGCAAGATTTCAGGTATGTCTTGCTACTTCTACTTACACTTAGGTCACACTACACATACATGTACAAGCACATATATACACACCCCTCTGGGTTTTCTTCTATTTTCTTTCTAGTTCTTGTTCTTGTTTATTTCCTCTTATCTCCATGGGGAAGTGGAATAGAATTCTTCCTCCGTAAGCCATGCGTATTGTAAGAGGCGACTAAAATGCCGGGAGCAAGGGGCTAGTAACCCCTTCTCCTGTATATATTACTAAATGTAAAAGGAGAAACTTTCGTTTTTCCTTTTGGGCCACCCCGCCTAGGTGGGATACGGCCGGTGTGTTGAAAGAAAGAAAGAAATATATATATATCATACGAACATATGTACGTCACAGTTTTCATGCTTTTTTGCTTATGTGTAACATTGATGTCCCTCACCAGTGTCCAGCAGTAACCAATCATCAAACTGATCATCAGGTTACCACTGATGTCTCCTCACCATTATGGCTGTCTTGGTGAAATCGTTCACCGTGGGATTCTGTTTCACATTAACCGTACGTGATGGTACAAAGCTGAATTTAGATTTGAACTCATCGTCCCCAAATTAGTTGGAAAAACCATTTTTCAACGTGAGCTGAAACCTTTGTTGGTCAGTGTTATCACACATGACATCTTACTCGTACAGATGAAAAGCGTCACAGAGGCTGAAAATATACAGCCTTTCCATTTTTTTTTATCTCCATGTGGGTTTTGGGCTGCTCTGATGAAGAGTATTTTAAAATAATTTTGATTTTTAGAGACACGAATATAGTGGAAAGCTCACCGGAACAGCTGGAAGTGTCAACAAGAGAGGCTCTGCCCCAGAGAGTGCCCAGCTTATTAACTTTGATTGTAGAAATATTTTTTTTATAGAAGAATGCCATAACTATCTTACATTTGTACTTTCTTCATTTCTTTATTATTCCTATTTTTTTCAGTATAATTATGCCTTCATCCTCATCTGAAAGATGACGAATCTGTTTTTCTCTCTCTTCTTTCGTTCTCGAGAAGGTAATCTTTCAGGGCAGACCGAAGCGTGTTGTTTATTAGTTACGAATTATGTTGTCTTAATATTTTCGCTTTCTTGTAGCTCGTTTTGGCCTAAACATTAACTTAACCTAGACAACCTACCCACTTCTTTCTAAAGAGTGGAACTCTTCCTTTCTTTGCTATGCCTCTTCCCAAATTAATTTTACAATTTTCATTGCCGAAAGAAAAGCAAGGGAAGGTGTTTTGCCTACATCCTAGTAATGCTCCCGCAACAGGAGTCTAGACAACAGGAAAAACAGAGGGATGATAATCCTATTACGGTTAAGCAATTTTTAAAGAAGGTATTGATTTGGAGAGTAGATTTTTCTTGCTCTGGACTGGCTTTTTGTTGACGATATTTAGACTCGTGTGTTAAATAATTAATTATTCGTTTATTATTATTATTATATTAAATTATTATTATACGTACACTTGGGAAATTTTTGAGGACGCAATCTTAAGTGTCTTCTCTAAAGTGTTCCAGCCACGGAAGTGTAAATTATTCTCAGTACTACTACTACAGCTAATAACTACTAATACTTCTACTACTATTAGTACTACAACTACTACTCGTAGAAATTACCTGTAGTCGTCATCATTGGGTAGTTGTCTGAGGTTAATCTGCCACGTGTGGTTTTTAAGCAGCTCCTGGACTCTGACGAGGCCGTTATTGTTCTCATATATGATGCAAAACTTCTGCCAGCCCAGTGTCTTAAGCACGTCCATGTACGCCTGCCAAGGAGAGAATAAAACTTAAAAGATTTATGTGACAGCCTTCTCCGTTACCTATTGGTAGTTACTGAAGAGTAACTGACAGCCCCATCTTTGACACACACTCCCTTTAACTATTTTGTCAGCGATGGCTTTATTACACCCACTTTGATTTTACTTTCCCTTTAGCACTCCTCGCCGTACTTACCGATTCTGTCTCTGGCCTAACCTTCGCCTTCGCTAGTCTCTGATGTGTCATATTATCGTAATAATAATATTAATCAATGGTCGTATAGAGCCTGGAAATGAGAGGTAATCAAGCATGATCCATGAGGGAAAATTCGAATTTCTTCGATCGTGGCACCAGTCTTAAAATGGGTACATGGGAGGAGCTTTGTTCAAGTCCTGATTATTAATGTTTAAACTGGTATGGAATTGGTTGTGGTTTCCAGTAGCTGTAGCACTTACTAACTCCTTGACTGAATCCTCCAGTGTTGAAATGAAGCCTCCAGTGCTGAATTGTATCCTCTAATGTTGCACTGAAGCCTCCAGTGTTGAAATGAAGCCTCCAGTGCTGAACTGAAGCCTCCATAATACACATTCATTAACCCATAACACTCATCCAGTTCCCTACCACACTCATCACCATCAACACTCATCCATTACCCACCACCCATCACCATCAACACCCATCCATTACCATCACAAATTATTTAATCAGTTTTTCCCTGCTAGATTTACCCTTCATGACGATGCATTGATACCGGCGAAGAGCTCTTGACCCACGATGTTGGAACCCCCTCACTCTTCCTCCTAGGCTCCAACACCAGCACCTCTCCATTCTCCTGGCGATGACCCTTACGGGGTTAGCGCTGTTTTCTTAATACATTAACATACTTTTTTTTTACCTTTGTCTCACAGTTAGTGTGCATAAAATTTTTGTGGGTAGTCAGCCTGCAGTTGGTTAGCTCAGTCCTTGACGTCCCTATCCATTGGCTCCAATGGCCCTATCCAATGGCTCCAGACTCGTGGGACACGACGAATTAGACAAGTGCAAAATCCACTAACAGCATTTCCATTACTTCTCTTCCTCTCTTTCTCTTTCCCTGTCTTCCTCGCCTGTACCGGCTCCCTCATTCTCTCCTGTCATTGTGACTTGTAAATGGTCCAAGTCGGGCCGAAACGTCGTCATAAGCTTTTCTATCTCTCCTAAGTGCGGGTTATTTGTTTAACATCTGAGTATCTTACTAATTCTTCATATTGTCGGTATTGTATACCAAGCATAAACAACTTATGGGCACTCTGTAGAAATCCCGACACTACCCGCTCCTCGTAGATATTGCGACAGATAAACTATCTATAATGCCTGTCTAATAAAGGGGAGAGTTGTCCATTTGTCCCACTACGCTGCTGCTGATGCTGTTGTCCATCTGTTTGAAGCTCTATATCACATTACTAGTTAATAAAACTATATCACATTACTAGTTAGTGAAGCTCTATATAACAAATGAACATTGACCAAAAATTTCTCTAGTACTTATATATTTTTTTAAATATTAAAACTCTGCCTCCATTCCTTCGGATCAAACCTGATTACTTATCTTTCCCCAGGAGCCCCATGATCCATGCATGTTCAGCGCTTCGCCAGGATGATTGATGATGACTGATGATGATTGATGGTTGATGATCACCTCAGGACATTACCTTGGCCAGAGTGGATGGATGAGGGTAGAGGTTGACAGAGTAGGCGTCTCGAGTCAACCTGAAGTCCCATCTGTTCTCTATGTGAGGAATCTCCAGGGCGTCGCAGATGGACTGCACGTGGTCAGAAGTCTGGCCAGACTGCGGCCCGAAGATCGCCGCTACTCCCGACTTCAGTAACGAGCACACTGTTCGGGAAGAGACTCAGTGTCGGTTAGTACCTAGATGACTTATGCGTACACTCAGAACATCTTTACTGCAGAGAATTCATTGTATATTTTCTCTCTGTTGACTACATCTTACTCATAGTATCTATTTATTATATTGTTACTATTAATATCATTATTAGAAAGGAATGAGCCAATAGGGCTAATGCATTATTTTTGTTCATAGGAGAAACGCTCAGTGCCTGGGCCCAGGGAGGTCACCATGTTTGATGCTAGAATGGAAAGGTCAGCCTTTAGTATTAAGGCAGCCTCCTTAAAATTGTTAATGACTGTAATGACTGACTAAAACCAGTGTTGCAAAACTTAAAAGACAAGTAACTGGGGGCATAACTATCACTGTGTTGCTCCAACGAGTGTTTAGTGAAGGCAGCTCAACTGACCTCGCTAAACGACTGATGGACTGATTACATCACATCCAGGCTGATGGACTGATTACTTCAAACTCCTTCTGACCTTCAACCATTTTTCTTTGTATTGGACTAATGAAGCCGCTGTGTGGCGAAACATTTCCTCAGTAAAGATATCCAAGTGTTGCACATGTGTCTAATTTATAATCATTTCCTAAATAAGCTTATTATTTCTCTAGTCCCATGTATGGTGTGAATAAGGTCACAATACTGAAACATTTGCTCGTATGTCTTGATCTACTAACCCTCGTACGTCTCAAGAGTTGTGATACTATTCCTGGAAGCCAGGGAGAATTACCCTCTTCTGAGATGGTCCGAAAACTTTTCCATCTCCTGTAAGATCTCGACTTTTTCAAGTTGTTGTAAAACTTTTGCAAGATTTCTTTGAAGGATTCCTTACGTATGAGTGAGACGTGGTACATTATTTTAAATCCTGTGACGGACCCAACACGTGTGAGATGTGCTACAAATTCCAGATCTCTTGAGGAATATGCAACACACAGCAAATATTACTGATGGGTACGACTCGTCACAACTGAGGTGTTGCGGTGGAATCCTAGATCACCTGATGGTCTTCACATCACTACACATGAGCACTGCGGATTGGTTCTTTAAACTACCTAAAGACTTCCACGCATCCACAATATCTCTTAGAATTTGCGAAGGACTTCCCCCATACGTCTAAGGTCTTAACATATCTTCAGTTCACTGAAAGACCCCTTAGCATCTAGGGTTTTGTGCTAGCTTTCATGCCTCTTCTTTTAGCACTTTTTTGTAACTATAATGACACTACTACTACCGATAATAATAATAATAATAATAATAATAATAATAATAATAATAATAATGTTCCTAATATTTCCTAGACTCCCTGCAAGTGTAAATATTTACTCTAGACTTCTTTAGAATCTGAGACTTCTAGAACGCTAATGAATCTGATTTTATCTCCAAGAACTCTAATGACCTGACATTTTTAAACTTCTAAAGGATCCGGCACTTTTAGACATCAGAAATGCTGTATGACCTTTTATATTCTACCCATCGAAAATAAGAACATAAGAACATACTAACATAAGAAAGAAGGAACACTGCAACAGGCCTACTGACCCATGCGAAGCAGGTCCATGCCACCCCCCGGCCTAGAACAATGACCACCTAGTCAGGTCACTTCCACTTAAGGAAGGAGCACGGCACCAGACCTAGTAGCCCAAGCTAGTCAGGTCCAACTCACACCCACCCACACCCACTTATGTATTTATCCAACCTATTTTTAAAACTACACAACGTCTTAGCTTCTATGACGGTACTCGGGAGTTTGTTTCGCTCATCCACAACTCTATTACCAAACCAGTGCTTTCCTATATCCTTCCTGAATCTGAATTTTTCCAACTTGAAACCATTGCTACGAGTTCTGTCTTGGCTGGATATTTTCAGCAAGCTATTTACATCCCCTTTATTTATTCCTGTTTTCCATTTATACACCTCGATCATATCCCCCCTAATTCTACGCCTTTCTAGACAGTGCAGATTCAGGGCCCTTAGTCTATCTTCATATGGAAGATTTTTGATACATGGGATGAGATTTGTCATCCTCCTCTGTACATTTTCCAGAGCATTTATATCCATTCCGTAATATGGTGACCAGAACTGCGCAGCATAATCTAAATATTGAAGCATCTTTCCCAATCCAAACATCAAAAAATGCTGAAGCATCTTTCCCAGTCCAAATATAAATGCTGTAGTTCGTTTTCTACTCAACGCATCACAAAAATGTTGTATTACCTTATCTGCGCAAATTAAAAATGCTGTCCACCCACCAAAAATAATGAAATACCTTTAACTACACCACAAAAATGCAGTAATACTTTTACTATGACACAAAAATGCTGTAGTATCTTTATTACACAAAAAATGCAGTAGTACCCTAGTGGAAATAAGTCACTGTGTCTGACTTTTTGGGTTATCCTAATTTCTGTACACACATGTTGATGTGTATGATAACGTATGTAACTGTATTTGTATATATCTGAATAAATTTACTTACACTACAAAAAATACAGTAGCACCTTTACCACAACACGTAAATATAGTAGTACTTTTACAACACAAAAAATGCAGTAGTACCTTCACTACAACACCCAAAAATGCAGTAATACCTTTATTACAACAAAAATGCTGTAGTACCTTTATTACAAACAGAAAATGAGATATTACCTTTGCTACACCACAACACACATACCTTCTGTCACCACACAGGAAAGAAGAAAACTGTAGTATATACCTTTCCTAGAACCTCTGAAGGAATCATTTGGAGGGATCTCTTCTATCTGCGCAGAGAGACGAGCGTGAGCCAACATCGTCCTGTCACTGTTGATGGCGTCGATAGCGTAGCGGAAGGCCACCTCTTGTCTCTCGTCCGCCAAGTCGAACAATCCACCTGGAGGACAAACACGAGTACGATTGGAGATAAATGGTATAAAATACCGACATGAGGGAAAAATAGACACAAATGCAGAATAATGCTATCCTTTATTGAGTATCATACGAATACTCGGTGGGCTTTATCAAGACACAAACAGATTTACTTGAGCAGAGAGTACATAGAGTATAGGGAGCATAGAGACGTGAAGGATCAGGTGGGGAATGCTGAGGGCTGAATTGAGAAGGGCCTGCACGGAATGGGCAAGTAGGTTGGCTGCTATGTAGGAAACTTCATCCTTATCCTACACAGCAACCATCCTACTTACCCATTCCGTGCAGGGCTTTCTCAATCCTTTCTCATCTCATCATTCCCCACCTGATTTCATGTCTCTATCCTTTCTATATATACTCTGCTGAGGTAGGTCTGTTTGTGACTTGATAAAGCTCAGTGTGGGTGAAATGTAGTCAATAAAGGATCACATTATACTGCGTTTGTGTCTTTTCCCAAAAAGAACGATTGATAAAAATAACTAGCTTGTTTCAGTCGCTGAGCGATCCCAGGTATCCCAGTCACGGTAATTCCTATATTATCAATTTACAAAATAACAACAACACTGTCCGCTGGATAATTTGTATTTCGTCCAGCTAATCCGCTTCGTAGTAACAAAGTTACATAACATTCATGTGGGCGAGGGGTAAGTGCCAAACTCGTAGAGGTCATGCATCGCCTGGGGGAGAAAGGAAACAATCAAGGAGGACGTTATGTCCAGATCACTTGATTCAAGAGCTTCTTGGTAGTATCAAGGACCCTCCCACGAGTTGGGTAATCTTAATACTTTTTCCACCGATATTTCCCTAGTTTATTCTTTTTGCTGCTTCTCTTGGCCTCTAATGCATCTGGGAAACTCGCCGCTCCCTTTCTGGCTATAAGAACACAAGAGAAATGTTCTTTCTGGTGTTACTAACAACACTTCTCTGTCGTGTTAGAGATCAAGGTCATCCCGTCTGCTGGCTCTCTGCCAGCACTATCTTCTCTTCTTCTGTCCCTACAGACGCACAGTTGGTGAATCAGTTCTTATACACAACAGTAATAACATGAACCTTAGCCTCAGTTCCGCATCTTTTGATCCTTGCCTTTCCTAGTACATTATCAAATGCTGTTATCTTCAGAGAGCACGTGACATGGCCTGACCTGGAATTTCTCTTATTTCTTTACCCGACCTGTCTCGTAGCTTTCTCTCTCTCTCTATCACGTCAGAAGTTTCCGCTCCAAATTTTGAGTTACTGATAAACTGGTGTAAATGTAAATATGAACGGGTAGGATACAGCCAATTCATCATTTATTTCAATAAATGCTAGGCCAGAGCAGTTCACATTTATTTTTACCAATATTTTTTCACATTTCCACCTTTGCCACTTCATTAATTCCTCCATTCTCTTTTCTTTTCTTCGGTCGAGGACAATTGCGTTATCGACTCTCCGTCAAGAAATTCAATTAACCTGAGGATGTGGAGCAGACTTTAAGACTGCTGCCACTACATTCCTCACACCTCACTCCGAACAGCATTGGTTTTCCGTTTCACAATTTCATTTCTATCAGACAGTTATTTCTATTTTAATATTATATACACCATTACCTGGCTAGTGCGACACCATCTCAACCAAAATCACTATCACCATAAATTACTATTAACAACACAGCAACTACTTCCAGTACCATCCCTCACAATCACAACCACCACAATAACAACCACAACCACTACCACCAACATCTCTCGCTATTCTCAGGCGAAAATCCTATTTGCTCACCATTTCCTGGTGTTACCGCCTCTGCCTTGCCGTGACATCAGCGACACACACGCAAGTCTGTGGTATTGTAAACCAGTGAAATTGCTAGTTAGTGTTATTGCAAGTCAAAGGTAGTATAGGTCAGTGGTACTGCAAGCCATTGCTACTGCAAGCCTTTGATAGTACTGCAAGCCAGTAAAAAGTGGTAATACTTGGCAGTTTTGCAAGCCTGTAGTATTGATGGTATTGTAGTATTGGTAGTATTGCAAGCCAATAGAAGGTGGTAGTATTGGTAATAATTCAGTTGTTTAATTCATGCTAAGCGCTAAACCCATATGGGTCATTCAGCGCAAGCCGTGTGGAGGCTTGATCCTCTGTCTCCTGAACGCCAGACAGACAGGGTTCCTATATGTACTCGCCTAAGATCGGTAGTATTGCAAGCCTACAGCATTGGTAATATTCTAGTGTTGATAGTATTCTTGTATTAGTTGTATTGCAAGCCAATAGAAAGACAAATGTGAATACTGTGTTGTTAAATCCAGACTACACACTCGTGCAAGAAGAAACCTGAATACAACAAACTTTACACTGGTGAATTCATAACAATATATGTTCTTGGCTCCTACTAAGTTATTATTCTCAAAGCCGAGGTTCTTCCTGTCTTATTTTATCCTCTGTGTATTTTTTCAAGCATGTGTCTCATTATTCAAATTTTAATTTAGTCCCACATGGGAAAAACTGTTCTAGAATGAAGAGACGAGTGTGCATTAGGAAACGTGAGGGTGTGGAATAGTGTGTGAATGAGTTTTGGGAAAGTGGAAAAATAAAGTACGTGGGTGTGAGACAGAGGAATGTTAGTATTTGAGAGATGTAAAAGAGAGAGGTAATTGTGTGAGAGATGTAGGTGTGTGTATGGATGCTGCAGTGTGAGTTATAGTGTGTGCGGGAATAAGATGTAGTGGTGTGGGAGAGTGATGCTGAGGTGTGGGAGGAAAGCGTGAGTGTTAAGATAAATATAGGAACTGGAGCCGTGTTGGAGGGTAATGGGAGTGGTGTGGAAATGAGTTTAAAGTTGCAAGGGTGTGCGACTCATAAAGAGACCAAAAAACAGGAAAAGGTTAGGTTAGGTTAGGTTCGTCAGGAAACAGAACAAGTGTTTCCAGACGCGGGTCTTAGTCAGATGATGACCCGCCTTTGGAGCTTTGGTCATCTGACCGAGGCCTTCCGCTGGCTTACCGGTCCATTCCTTTAAAAATAATATAATTATATATATACAGGAAAAGTTAAAAATTTTATTTTTCAAGGGGTGGACCAGTAAGCCAGCGGAAGGCCTTTGTCAGATGACCAAAAACTCCATCTGCGGGTCATTATATATCTAAGACCGGCGTTAAGAAACTCTTGTCCTGTTTCCTGACAAGTCTTACCAACCACCCAAAAAAACAAAAAACACTTACATTCTACGGGTGAGGAAGCTGTGCAGAAATAAATTAGCCTAAGTTGTTGGGGTGAGAGAGCAAATTCTTGATCTGATACCATCCAAACAAAAATAATTTTAATAAAAAATCAGTTTGAGGCGTATTTATCCTAGCTACAACTACTGTGTCAACTGTCTTAAATCAGACTCTCTCATACATGATCTAATGCACAAAACAGCCATTGTGAGAAATCACGAAAGCGCTTGGAAGTTCACTATTTTTTCCACAGTGGTTGCTTTGCATAATGTTGTATCACCTGTCTACTGTGGTCTTATTGCATTATCTATTACAATAGATGCAGTGAGGTTGATTTATTTCCCTGACACTTTCTTACCTCTCTGCTTAAAGAATTAAAAATCACAATGCCGTCCGTGGCTGGAACAATTCACCATAAACCAGCACTAAGGAGAGGAACCTTATGACGACGTTTGGTCCGCCCGGGCCCATTGAAAGTCAAAAGAAAGGAGAAAAAGCAGAGAAGTCAGAAAACAAAAGAGGGGGGTAGTAGTAGTAGTAGTAGTAATAGTGTAGTGTGTAGTAGTAGTAGTGTAGAGAGGAAATTTGTAGAGCTAGTAATAAGAAAAAGTTAAAATAAATGGTAGAAAAAGTTGTAAATAACATAATATTAGTTTTAGTAGGGGGAAAGTTTAAATAATGGTAGAAGGTAAACAATAATAGTACGAAGTTTTAAATAATGGTAAAAGAGTAAAAATAATAGTAGAGTTTTAAATAATGGTAGAAGAGTAAAAAATAAAAGCTAGTTGTAAATAATGCGAAGTACTACTACTCTATTTACTACCAAAACTAAATTTCTACCCCCTCTCCCCCCCTCATTGTGACATGACAAAAGATCCTTTCCCCATTGTACATGACAATGTCCTTTCCCTACTTTTTGAATGACAATGATCCCTTTCCCCAGTTTTGCATGCGATCCTTCCCTCGTTTTGACATGACAAAGATCCCCCTCACTTGTGGGGCATGACAATGATCCTTCCCTCAGTTGTGACATGACAATGATCCTTCCCTCAGTTGTGACATGACAATGATCCTTCCCTCAGTTGTGACATGACAATGATCCTTCCCTCAGTTGTGACATGACAAGTCCTTCCCTCAGTTGTGACATGCATTTATCCTTCCCCAGTTGTGACTTAACAATGATCCCTTGTCAGTTTTGACAGGGAAAGATCCTTTTTCCCCTTTTGTGACTGACAAGACCTTCCCACTTTTGACATGACAATGATCCTTCCCCCACTTGTGACAGACAATGTCCTTCCCTCACTTGTGGGTTGACAATGATCCCTTCCTCATTTTTGGGCTTGACAAGCCTTCCCTCACTTTTGACTTGACAATGATCCTTCCTCAGTTGTGACATGACAATGACCTCCCCTCCTTGTGAATGACAAATCCTTCCTCACTTGTGACATGACAATGATCCTTCCCTCACTTGTGACATGACAATGATCCTTCCCTCAGTTGTGACATGACAATGATCCTTCCCTCAGTTGTGACATGACAATGATCCTTCCCTCAGTTGTGACATGACAATGATCCTTCCCTCAGTTGTGACATGACAATGATCCTTCCCTCACTTGTGACATGACAATGATCCTTCCCTCAGTTGTGACATGACAATGATCCCCCCCTTTGTGACATGGGCAATGTCCTTCCCCCACTTGTGACATGCAATGATCCCCCCCTCACTTGTGACGGCAATGATCTTCCTCACTTGTGACTGACAAAGATCCCCCCCTCA